ATTGGGAGTTATTTAGTACTGTATTTTAATAATGATGTGTACCAAGCAAGAATTTTGTACTGTACAATGGTAAAAGTATTTTTACAGTATAAAATTCGTGGTCAATGGTTTAGTTTTCCTAAAGAATATAAATGAATATCAATAAATAAATATACAGTTATGTTGGGGTAATAAATAAATAAATAAGGGTTTTTTGAAGTAACAGAAGATATTCATCCAGGAGAACACTGTTCCCGTTAGCGTTTACCCCACACTCATATGTTTTTTATAGCTGGTATGTTATATGACTTGAAAAGAGCTACTGTACTTGTTAAAAGGCATACTTTAAAGCTAGCAATTATGCTATTCACTTCAGTCTATACATAAATGATGTCCGAACATAATTATTTGTTTCATAACATAATGGCTACTTTGATAACATTGATTACGTGCACACATAGTTTGGAATTTCAACTTCTGGTCATTCACACATGAAATTATTTGATGTAGAAATCTATGAATATTCGGAAAGCAATTGATAAAGTTTCTTATAAATTAATATAACTTGTATTAAGAACATGCTTTATGCGAAATTCTTTCTTGACTGACTACTTCCAAAAGGCTCGATAATTGGTTCAAGTCTAATTTTATGTTAGTCAATGAATTACTGGGAGCTCAATTAAAGTCGTGGCCAGATTATGGTATTTTGCGATAATGGATAAAGTTTAATATATATATAAGATATTAAGAAGGTTAATAAATCTAAATTATAGCTTCCATATTTATATGCAGGTATACTTTGTGGGTTTGAGTATCGCAGTGGAATTTGACAGTTTTGATTTCCAGTGAGGAGAGGGCTTTGTATCACCTTACTATGATAAGCATTGTGAGTCATTTTGTAACGAGGAAACATTCCTCGACGTCTTGCGCTACAGATTGGCAAATTATAACACGTAAAATGTCGATTGCAATTAAAGAATTTATGATTAATTTCTATAAAATCATTTCTATGAAAACCTTTTAAATATATATATTTCACTAAAGAGACACACTGTTCATTGTGTAGGACAGAAAAAGCATTAGGTAGTTTTACTTAATATAATTATTTTACAATAGTAAGATTTTTAATAACATCAAGAGATAACAATATATTTCTCTCTACTCTTTTATAGGTAAATGTGAGTATAGAAATGCGTCATTGCAAGCTTGAAACTGTGACCTTCTCACTATACAAACTGACGGTGACTGCGTCAACATTAGAACGCTTGAGTAATGAGGGAGACGACTTGTTACCACCATATCTCTAATTGATGGAATAAAAATGGAGCTGAACCGTATGTGGTTCAAATAACACAAACTATGGTAACTGTTTTTATATAGCAAATAGCATATCTTGTATTCAATTTGTTTCTTATCGTTAACAAGGACTAAATGTAAAAAAAAAAATCCTGGCAGTCAGATATTTTAGTTCAACATCTATAGTTTAAATATTCCATCGTAAAACTCTTCACGAGAGTATGGAAGTCAATCTTGTTAATGGACAAGAAAATACTTGGGCACTAAGATGATTGAGTCTGCGTAACGAAAAAACAAATAGTGCGTTTGCGACACTATGGATCAGGACAGCACTGCGCATCCGGAGTTCTGGATAAGATTGCATGCTGTTCGCTACAACCTTTTACAAGTTAGAGAAATAAAGCGAAAGATGGATCATGAATCAGACTGCGCGATGCACAGGCTGGTCTGGATCATGCTGGTCGAAACGATACGTTGTTTTGTCGTGACGCGGATCATATGATGATTGTCTTCAAACTGTCTCGTAAGTAGTTTTACCAAAACTATATTTACGTAAGGATTCGAATAAACTAAGATCTTATTATTTATGTTTTAATTGTTTTTTGTTTAATGATTTATATAAATGGACAAGTGTATGCGAGTTCCTTCAGCCAGGTTACAATGAGCTATACAGGAGTAATTGTGGAAACGTTGACCTAGCCTGTGGCGAATTCAGATTGGACTTATCGAACTTGTTACATGGTTAGAGTAAATCTATTAACATTTTACATATCTTCTCAAAGATTTGATATGTTGATTTTTTAGAATAAGAATAAATGAAAAAAAAGAAAAAAAAAGAAAAAGATTATTTGTGTTGTGTTTTAAACTTCTTTCTTATCGGTTTAAAAAATTTTTGGGTTCTTCTTACTTTGATACAGTATATATATCGTGTACTTTTTTTTGTGTTATTTTTTGTTCTTTACTCATGAAAAATGAAAGGAATTACCATTATTTCAAATTGTATAGGTTATTGTTCTAAGTAATACTGATAAACACTGGTTCTGGAATAGAAGGAAGTGCAATACGTATCCAATGCGTAGCTTGTTAGAATTACCAACTAATCGTTCAAAGGAACACAGGATTTCAATTGATGCACTTCTGTAACTACTTGTTAGCTAAACATCTCTAGTATGTAATTGTTTATAACAATGTGGTATTTTATTAGTGGATATCAGAGACCAAATATGCATAATTTGCTTTGTGTTTTTTATCATCATCGTATAGTTATACTCATTTGAGATAAGTATGAAAGATATTCGAGTTATTTCCCGCACCGTGATCATTACATTTAATTTAAATATTCAAATCTTAACGTGATATACCCGCATGATATGTGATATATCTTGAACATGGAAAAGCCCATTTTAATTTTCATGATACATTTTAAATCTGCATATTCCTCCAGATTAAAACATTAGTAATGTGAATTTTATATAAAGTATGTAAACTTTACAGTACATTATAAGATTTCTTTTTTTCATTTTCACAAGAATGATTTTGTACGTATGACTCATTGAGGTGCTGTACAGCAGAAATATTTGGTTAAACCGAAAAATATGTTCAACTAATCGGTACTTCCTTAAAGATTAATTTATATAATAGCTTTTGTTTTTATTATTCTTTTTCAAATATGAAAATAAGTATTATTTTATATGTTCTATTAATATAATAATATGTATATTGAACGTTAAGCTTTCAAAAGAATAAAGAGAAGAAAAATTTAAAATAGAAAGCTGATATCAAAGAATATTTGCCTTTTACAATAGAATACAGTACAATTGCATTTAAACAGATTTTTAAGAAAGGCGTTAAAAACAAATGTCACGTGACTGTAACGTTAATTTAGAAACATGCAAGTAATCAAATTTTAATAACCATTAAACCTACTATTCTAGTTATATAGTGGCATTTTTCGCTCAGATAAAATCATAATAATAGTTTTAAAAGGTAAATAGTTACGTAGTAGTTAACTCTAATTAAGCTAGTTTAGTTATGTGTTGACTAGTTCGTATTTACTAGTGTAGTTACTAACTAGTTAATTTTTTTCATAAATAGAAAATTATCGGAATAATGCTGTTAGTGCCTACACTGCATCCTTCTATTATTTACCAGTTATATTAAGTTGATACTAGTTACTGTAATAGTTAACCTCTTAATTTGAAGTTAGTTATTTATTGGTGGAGAAAAATTGCACTTAAGTTAAGATTCTGTATGTTATTTTTTCTTTTATTTAAATTTGTGGCATTTATGTACAGAGTTATTGTTAGTTTTCTGTCAATGTTTTAATTTACTTAGGTATTTGGATTAATGCACATGTTTTGTTTTCATTGTTCTGTTTTCATTTGTTGACTAAACTGTAAGAATTTGGTAAGATTTTACTATGGTCTTAAAACATTGCGAAAACAGTACAATGTTTTCTTATGACCTTTACAATAATATTCAAGAATAAAACAATCAATGACAACAGGAAAATCGTGTTACAGATAGATAGTAATATATTTTAATTTATTTTTTTAGATTATATTGTAATTAATAAGAGTGGTAACTTTTTCGCAAAGCGACAAATTATAAGTAATCAGTCGCTGTCATTAAAGTGTTTTTTTCTTCTTGTAAATGATTATTCCTTTCTTTGTAGTAAGTTTTTACCTAACGGTGATTTTGTCATAAGTATCCGTTTTAAGTCATGTATTGGACATTGAAAGCAGTTTGGTAAAGGACACTTTAAAGCTCTTAAAAGAATATTTTTGTAAAATATAAAACATGGGTTTTATATGTTGTAATTCAGCTTTTTAGATGTTATTACTGAGTAGAACCAGTGTTAACGTGAATGTTCTGAAACAGCATTATTGTAACAAAGTTGTATTTTACGTCATACAAATACTAAATCATTATAACTCTGTGATTGCAAACAAAAAGGAAGCCAAAGATGGTTCGGTCTAATTTGCATAGAAAAACGTGGAACTGAAACAATACATCAATGAAGTTTTGAAATATGAAAATATTACTATTCATCTTAAATGGGCTTTAAATGAGAATCGTGCATATATTTACAACGGAATATTGTATTTTATTTGCTTATCAATTTATTATTTACATAAACAAAGCGTATGATCATCATCATTGTTCAACAGGTATAACTTTCCTGCTTGGGCATGCAACTGGCATATCGCAGTTCCTGATTCAGGAGGCGGTGGTCGTTATCTTATTATGGTAAGCATTGTGAGTCATTGTGACGAGAAACGCACAGCTGCACTTCAAGCATGTGCATATGGTATTGTAGTATGTTAACATTTATTAAGTGAATGAAATATTTTGTAGAATGTTGAGGTAAACTCGATTTAGTTAAAGTAGCTAAAATGCTTTAGGGATATTGGTTGTGCTACATGTTAGATATAGTAAAAACAGGTGAACAAACAGAGTTGATGTCATTATTCGTTACTAACTTTATTGATTAAGAAAACCGAGATTAGGATTTGATTGGAATTTACGGTTGTTAAATAGTTAAATAAGAATGTTTATTCTGACACAACATCTCTTCCAAAAAAAAAACAAAGAAACAAAAAAAAGAAGACATTCATGTATTTATGATTTTAATTTTTTTGTTTTTATTTAGAATCACAATTGAGTACAGAAATGCCCAGTGTAAGGCAATAAAAAGTTGGCGATCTTTTGAGTTATAGTTAGTTATGGCGCATCCCGTTACATTAGAGACACCATGTGATTTTGTGATGCAAACGAAATGTATACCCCCATCAAATCTCGCCATCACTGGGACTAGCGATGGATTTGAAGCAATTTGTGGCTCAAATAATAGGACATATGGTAAGTTTAGATTTACAAATGTTGATACAAAGTTAAACTGTCTTACTGATGTAGTCGCACGTGAAAGTATAAAGTTATCAAATATATGTGAGTTTTAATACTTCACTTTCCTTATGCAAGATATATATCAAGGGGGCAAAATCTTGCCGGTCGATTTACAACGAGGGGAATTGTTATTTCCCCTGTTCATGTCCAAAGGTTTAAAATATGTTGTCACAAGGATTCCTGGAAAAAATAATACAAGACCAGAAAACTAAATAATTAAAAAAGGAACTGTTCACGTGGAATGAATCTTACAAACATATGAAAATCAACATGTTGGCCCATTAAAAACATGATCTTTTAACATGGTATAAAATATAAATATACGCATACAATAAAATATGTTTCTATTCGTATTTTAGATAGTACATGTGAATTCCGTGCAGCTCAGTGTCAACACGAACAAATGAAGTATGACCCACTGACTGTAGCACACACTGGCGAATGTCAAATTGATCCATCAAACTTAGTCATGGTCATTTATCTCTTTCTCTTTATTTTTCATTTTTTGATTTGACAAAAATATTTCATGTCTGTAATTTTAAGGTTATTGAGATTACACACAATGATGTAATTTACATCAATAAATAAGTTTTCACATATATTTTTCAATTGATTTATAATCTATAACATTTGAAAGGCGCTTGGGAAACGTTATAATAGAATATAGCTCTTTGTTCAACAGATACATGCTTTTCATCTCCAAGCTCTTAAATTAACGTTTATAAATACTGTCATTAAAGATAAAAATGTTTACTTCAAAATGTTACATAATTAAACATATGTATGTACATGAATTAACACTTAAATATTTCAAATACCAGTTCCCCCATTCTTTTAAATAACTGAATTGTTATTTGAATTGTTTCTAGGTAAATTGTTCAAAGTATATAATGTCCAACTCTGGTTTGGCCATAGAGGGAGGCAACATGTATCCACACATGCAGGGCTGTCCTAAAGATTATCGCCCTATATGTGCTATGGACGGCAGAACTTTCTCTAACGAATGTGGTTTATGTAATTACCTGTTGGCAACACACCATCTATGTAAGTATACTGTACTGACAACTGTTTTAATTCTACACATAGTTACCTCACAACACAACATTTTCTACACATTGTATTTTATTTTGTTGCTGGAGTGAAAAATGCGTTGTTTTGTCTAAGGAATCATCGATTGGGTAATATGACACTTTCATGACGACTGAGGTTAAGGATCAAAGAGTTTTTATAAGATCTAAAAGTTATTGGATTGTTAGACATTTAAGTAGTCTTGTTATATTGTACCTTGATGATAATACATTTTTTTCATCTGTCCTTTTGAAGATGAAAATTAGATGTATTAGTTAATTAGCTGCTAATATTTAGTAGAAATTTTCTTGATCTAACAATTACATTTTATACAGAATAGTTAAGATTTCTTAGTTGCTGTAAGATTGTAACTTGTTCTTTTTTCCATTTACTTTCAGATATTCATAATTTTTTTGTGGTTAAAAACGAAAACAACATTTTATGACTGCGATTCAATATGACATACTTTCCTTAAATTCTCAAAGGACTTTGAAAATCTAGTCACAAAAAGTTTTGTTTTAAATTTTTATCATATTTGCTTTAACTCAAACCGTCTTTATTACATTGACGAGCATTTGATTCGCCGATCGCTCAAAGAAGGCCTATCTAAATCCGTCAAACGTTTTGTTTCGTCTGTATCATATATGATATGATCATATTAATTGGGCATAATTACGAAGATGCGAATTTCCCTGCAAAAATGTAGGTACACTATGCTTTTGGGGAATCAAGTTAACTTTGAATGGTTTATTTCCCGTATTTCTCGAGTGTTTTAGATTAATAATAGTGTTGAAGAAACGTTGTAATTATATTGTGTATATTTTACTATATTTTCATTTTCAATATTTCTGTCTTCAGCAACCAACACATTTGTTACGTATGCGCTACACGAGGGGCGTTGCACATCAGCCGAAATCTTTGGATAATCTAAATACATTATTCATCTTCTGTTATGTATGTTATGCTAACAAATAAATAGTCTCTGTGAAAAAGTTGTTTAAAATGTTAAGTTTGACCTCAGCGTCTACGGATTGCTAAAGTGAATTGACATGCTACAGTACATTTACAACCATACCATTAGCAGAACATCAGTTGCATAACCTGGAGATTTTCTTCATTCTCAGACATTAATACTATCTTATCACAATAAAGAAAATTTTCGCAATATTTGCATATTCTTCAAAAAACTACTGTTGCTACTTTTATCATTAATATAGATATTCAATAGAACTGAAGAAAGCCAACATTATTGTCTTACTGGGAACCTATCAGTTGTACCTTTCATAAGATTTGACGTAGTTATAAAGAGATTGATTTACATTTTTTCAATAATTATTAAAGTTGCAGTTTCCTTTATCTTTTATTTTTTATTCAATAGATCGATTCTACTGACCGAATCAAATGCTTTTCAAAATCAATGAAAGCACAAAGAGCATGTAAGTAAGACACATACCTAAACATTACAAAGGCTGGCGTTTTGTCATAATTCCCTGATTTTGGTATTGGCTAAGTAATATTTTTAATCAAGTTGAGGGCACTGTTCCTTTTTCAAAAAGAACAGTTAAGAATATTGTGCACAAAAATTCTCACATACACGTTTTTTTAAATATGAAGCTTTGTTTTTTATAGTTTTTATGTGGCCTAATATTCCATTTATGTTTTTAAAGTAATTATTTAGCTGTTGGACGTATACAGTTACCGTAGATATTTGATTTTGTTTCAATGTTTAATGTTTCAACAGGATTATTTATGTTTAAAATATTTCAAAAATCATCTTTTAATGAATGAAATATATCCAATACTCCCCCAGAAAGGGTTGTTCTGTTATTTTATTTATATTAGACGCTGATGAGACTACTATTTTCAAGAACATTACATATAATTTATACATGTCATAGTCAAATGTAAGTAAAGTAAAAGTTACTCTTTATTGCTTAATTTATAGTTTAAGTGTACAAGCGCACATCATGATACATGTATCATTTTCAAAATATGAAAAACCAGATCATTAAGAAAGGCTGCTTCACATTACACTTTGCTTATGCCTACGTCGCATTACAAGCAGGAACCGGCCAAGATCGGAGAGAAACGATTTTGAAGGTTTTCGAAGGGTACTCGCCCGGTCACCTTGGTAGATGTGTGAAGTTGGGCGGCCCTGGCGGCCTAGCGGCCTGGGGGCGTGAAGTTGGCGGCCTAGCGGCCTGGCGGCCTAGCGGCGTGAAGTTGGCGGCCAGCGGCCTGGCGGCCTAGCGGGGTGAAGTTGGCGGCCCCAGCGGCCCTGGCGGCCTGGCGGCGCCTAGCAAGCCAAAAATTTTAATGTTGTAAAAATGTTTTTTTTAACAATAAAACGCATTTAAATGAATTTTAAAGATAATTTTTGTTATTTAAACGATATATCTAAAGAAAAAATCACTTTCAGAGATTTTTTTTTTTTTGTCATTTTGTGAAGTTGGCGGCCCAGCGGCCTGGCGGCCTAGCAGCCAAAAATTTTAATGTTTAAAATGTTTTTTTAAAAAAAACGGCATTTAATGAAGTTTTAAAGATA